GAATGCTGCCAGAAGGGGTTTATTTATTGTGTAGGTGCTTCTCATTCTGCATGTGTTTTCTGTTTCAGTTCATACAGTACATTAAAAGTTGTCAAAATTGGTTAGAGATAATAAGAACAAAGATGATGTCATGCTTTCCTGGAAAATTTCTTCTCCTTGACTAGACCACACATGTATCTTTCCCGTGTCAGTTCAATGATGCAGAAAAACTGTGACAAATCAACTCCCTATGTAATTACAGAAACTAAATGGGCAACATCCACTGACAATTACTGGGTTGTTTATGTGCATTGCTCTTTGATTTCCCTGCCCCTTCTCTTCTTCTCAAGTGCCAGCCATTCTTGTTTTTTAACATTTAGACTGCACATTTTTCAGACAGGTCCAACTTCAGTATATCCCAGATCTGGAGTATCACCATGCTGGTCCATGCTGAACTATGGTGGATTAGTTTGGTAGAAGGGCTCCCTAGATTCTGTTGTGTAGAAACCCAAAAGTTGCCCTTAAGGTAAAAGCTTTAAAAATGCAACTTAGCAACCTTGCCATTCTGATACTGAGTTATGGGGCAGGCTGTGCATTTTATACCTCTAATGTTTCATGATCTGATTGCCCTTGGCAATGCAACTCAAGGTCACCTACAATATCTGGGTGTGGCATCCTGAGCATTAAATATTGAATGTGATAGTAGACAAAATTTGTTAAACACCATCAGTTAATTAAAATTCAATTACATTGTATTTCACTGTTTTGACTAATTTCCAGTGCTATTTGATTGAGACTCCCAGTATGCTACTCAAAGTCTAATGACACAAAAGACTGTACATCCTTGATGTACAACATTAAAGACTAAGGGTCTAGCTCCAGTTCTGTCTGAAAGCTGCATGGAGCTTCTGATTGGAGGAAACTGCCTAGAATTTTGTTATGCTTTTCAACCAGTGTAGTATAGATAGCTTTGGAGATAAGTTTATTATATGATATGAATATCTGGAATTTATAGTACTGGCATTTTAGCTTGTGTTTTATGATATTTATAAACTTGTGAAGCTTTTCATCCAGAAATAAAGCACAGGAATTTATACAGCAACATAATAATAATAATTCTATCTAATGCAATTAAGGCCAGAACTGAAAACTCATCAAATGATTCAAAGTGCAGATTGCACAGAGATATAGAAGAAACAGTAGTTCACTGGAATGCCTGTAAAACTTATTAGGTGCCAATAATGAGAAATTGGTGGGAACATATAGTTGAAAAAATGGTCAAAATGAGCAGGTTAAAATATTGCTGGATTCCCAAATACAAATTGATAAAGTCTTGGCTCATAACAAATCAGATTTAATAGTGGTCAAAAAAAAAAAAAGAAAGTGTGAATAATTGATGTGACAGTACTAAGGGACTGTACAGATAATCCTCAATTTATGACTACAATGGAGCCTGCCCATTATAATTGTATATCATGATGGACATGAAGCAGGTCACCCACTTAATTTTATGATCCTTTTCTTGTGGTGATCATTAAGCAAATGCATTGTTTGCTATTGGGCTTTTTTGCCCAAACCCAGAAGCAAACATGGGTTTTTGGCAAAAATATCATAAATCATGGTCACATGACCAGTGTACACTGCAAACAGCCATAAATGCAGGCCAGTTGCTGGGCGCTCAAAATATGGTCAAATGATTGTGTGTGGGGAGTACAGCTATTTGTCCTGTTGAGGCTATAAGTAGAATATTACCTGTACAATAGAAGACAAAGCATTGGAAAAGATGACAGAATATCAAGGTTTGAAAACTGAATGTGAAAGATTATGGCATAAACTGGCATGATGATCCCAATGGTTATTGGCACACACTGGGTGCTATACCAAAAAAAAAAAAAAAAAATTGGATGGCTTTTAACAGACCTGCACATTGACAAAATCTCCATCTGTCAATTACAAAAGACCACTCTGCTTGGATCTGCACATATAACAGGATATTACAGCATCTTAAGTTCTTGGGAAGAACTGAATGCATATCAAGGCCAACACAGTTAAGAATGGGCTACTGTGACTTCACATTGTTGTAATCAGATAATAATGCAATCCCAAAATGTGTGGAGCACCACTTCAGCACTGTTGGCCTTGACACCATCAGTCAATTACAAAAAGCAGCTTTACTTGGAACAGCTTTTATCCTGCAGTGACACCTTTAACACAATCACCACAACAACATCTGCCTTTCCCAAGCCCTTGTGAAGGATTCAGTGTGGATAAAAATGCCAATCTAAACATCTGTCTGACTGTGTGACCAACCTTAATAAGTTCATTTAATAAAAAGCATCATTTTCATAACTTTGAAGTATGTTTCTGTCCCCATTGTTCTAGCTGCTAGCATATAGGCAATGAACAGAGCATTGTAAAATGTAACCACATAGGAAATGATGGAAGAAAGAAAGATTGTTGGCTGAACAAGTACTATAAAATGACAATTCAGTACACTGGAGAATGAAGACCCTATGCACAGAAAACATAGGTTCTTGTTCTCCAGAAGTCTCCATTAGCATCTAAAACTGTCCAGCTATCTCTATTTATATTTTTCAAAGCTGGCACTTTATATGCTCAGAATGACTTTATTACAAATGGTGAAATTAGCATTTCTGAGTCAAGCTTAAATGTCCTCATCCCCAGTACTCTTCAACATCTTCATCAACGATTTGGATGAAGGGATAGATGTGGAACTCATCAAATTTGCAGACGACACCAAGCTGGCAGGAATAGCCAACACTCCAGAAGACAGGCTTAAGATACAGAAGGATCTGGACAGACTTGAACACTGGGCACTAACTAACAAAATGAAATTCAATGGTGAAAAAAGCAAGGTTCTACATTTAGGCAAGAAAAACCAAATGCACAAGTACAGCATAGGTGGCACCATGCTCAATAGTAGTAACTGTGAGAGGGACCTCGGAGTCCTAGTAGACAATCACTTAAATATGAGCCAGCAGTGTGCGGCAGCTGCCAAAAAGGACAACACAGTGCTAGGCTGCATTAACAGAGGGATAGAATCAAGATCACGTGAAGTATTAATACCACTCTTCAATGCCTTGGTAAGGCCACACTTGGAATACTGCATCCAGTTTTGGTCACCACGATGTAAAAAAGATGTTGAGACTCTAGAAAGAGTACAGAGAAGAGCAACAAAGATGATTAGGGGACTGGAGGCTAAAACATATAAGGAACGGTTGCTAGAATTGGGTATGTCTAGTTTAACGAAGAGAAGGACAAGGGGGGACATGATAGCAGTATTCCAATATCTCAGGGGCTGCCATAAAGAAGAGGGAATTAAGCTATTTTCCAAAGCACCTGAAGGCAGGACAAGAAGCAACGGGTGGAAACTAATCAAGGAGAGAAGCAACCTAGAACTAAGGAGAAACTTCCTGACAGTGAGAACAATTAATCAATGGAACAGCTTGCCTCCAGAAGCAGTAAATGCTCCAACACTGGAAGTTTTTAAGAAGAGACTGGACAGCCACTTGTCCGAAATGGTGTAGGGTTTCCTGCTCGAGCAGGGGGTTGGACTAGATGACCTCCAAGGTCCCTTCCAACTTTACTATTATTATTATTATTATTATTATTATTATTATTAGCTATTACTGATCAGACGGTCCCTAAGCTACATACAAACTATCAAACTATCTATCAAACTATCTTCACTATTGTAATATGCTGAGAAAAAAATAGAAGTCAATAACTGCAGCTTAAAATTTTACAGCTTAGTATACAGTCAATCCTTGACTTATGACCACAACTGAGCCCAAACATTTCTGTTGTTAAGTGAAACATTTATTAAGTGTGTTTTGCTCCACTTTGCAACATTTTTTTGCTACAGTTGTTGAATGAATCACTGAAGTTGTTAGTAAACCGGTTGTTAAGCGAATCTGACTACCCCATTGACTTTGCTTGTCAGAAGTTCACAAATGGTGATCACATGACCATAGAACACAGTGACTTTCATAAATATGAACCAGTTGCCAAGCATCTGAATTTTGATTACATGACCATGAGGATGTTGCAAAGGTTGTAAGTATGAAAAATGGTCCTAAGTCACTTTATTTCATTCTATTGTAACCTTGAATGGTCACTAAATGAATTGTTGCAAGTCAAGAACTATCTGTATTCACAGTTTCTAGTTTAGCAACAACTAAAGTGCTTAAACCCTAGATTAAACAAAGCCTTTTAAACTTGTTCTCAATTGCCTATTTAACTAAACCATCAGGTCAATGGTTTTTCGTCCTTCACATTATGTAATCTGTACTTCATAATGTGAAGATATGGCTATGTAATCAAATTAATATATGTGTAAGTGTTGCTGGCTTTATCCCCAGTCTAGTGAGCCATCCGACATTTCATCTGTGATATATTCTCACCCAAAATGTGTTTTTGTTTGGAATTTCAATTGATAGATGAATGGATGTGGCAAAAAACCTCTACAAAATTGCTCAGACTTAGCAGAAGAAGATTTGTAATAACCAGCTGGCTAGAATTTTGTTGGCAGAGTTTGTCCATTGCAAATCAACAGAGCCAAGATTTAGTCTTCTGTTAGGTCATCTGTTTCATCCTAACTGAGCACACGCTAACTATTTATAGGCTTAAGGAAATTATTATTCCTTAGCACATCTGAAAACATGTCACTGCTGGAGTATATATACCACTCATGAAGGAAAACTCAAATGCCATTTCTTCTGACATCAGGTGGAAAAAAAATGGTTGGGAAAACATTTTTTGATTTTACTTTTCCACAAGAAAATAAACTTAAATTGCATGGCTTCCTATTCTGCATTCCTAAAAGCAGACTGTTAAAGAAACATGCCATTCAACATTCATCAATGGAGAATGAAGTCATTTAAAAAACATATTTGTGTAGTAATGAATGTATGACTAAATGGACTGTATGATATTCTTAAACCCAAGTAATGCCTATAATTCCAATATTTCAGGATACATATTGAACTAAACTCACCTACCTGTAAAAAGCTTTAGTAAACAGTCTTCTTGTTTTCATGGCAAACCAGAAGAATTGCTTTCTTCCTGATGTTCTGGAAGATGAGCTATTTTGGCAACTTCAGAATCTCTTGTGTATCCTTATTGAAATGAAACATCGGTGTCAATCAAACCCAACACATAATCCAAGATGTTATTAAGCAGTGTATATTCTTTTATTGGACTACATGTCAATTAATTTGGAACTGGATAACAGAACAAAATTACAAGAAGACTAGTGCCAAATGTTAAGTATCTTTAAGAGATACTTTAAGAAAGCAGAGCAAAAATGGAGATATAATTCAAAGACACATACATAAGACTATGGGCCAAATGAGATAAGCTGCTAAATTAAACCCAATTAAAGGGTTTAATTTTTAACAGTTTAAATAATAACTGTTTGAAAAGCAACATAATTGGAACTATAGCACACGAGCAAGTAATATATCCTTAAAAACGCTAATTTATAATTGCCTCCTTTACAGGTGCTATTAATTCTTATAAAGGAAAAAACATAGTCATAATGAAAGTTTCTAAATGTTCATTTTGAAATGGTGAAAAGAGGCCAACCTTCTTTATATTTTGCCAGTATTAATCTTGGGGTATCTTTCTTCTCTGGTCATCTGTATGATGAGCAATCTTATCTAATAGAAGAGAATATTTGTAGCTCAGGCTTGAAATGTGAGCTCGTTTATTACCCAACTAGATAACATCATCAGTTCTTATGAACACTGATGATGCTAGCCAGTTGGGTAATGAAATATCTTCAAGAAAACAATCAAGCTTAGAGAACAAAGGTTCCATACAATCTTATCTAGTTTGGCCCAAAAAAGTAGCTTAAGCAGCAACATGCAAGAATAAGACTGAAGGAGGCCAAGCTACAATGTTCAGCCATGTATTGGAACGAGCTCTGAGTGAAGTTACAGAAACAAAAATCATATGGTCATACCATAAGCAAGTGGTTTTGTACAATCTCTAATAGCCATTAATCTAATCAGTAGAGGACACTTTTTGTATTTAATGTTCCATTGTAGATGTATTTTTGTAGACAATCAGATCATTTCAAAATGTTTTGGACTTCAATTGCTATTAATTTTGTGGGAGATCTGGTGACAAAATTAGTGGATGAGAGGAATGCTGTGGATATTATTTACTTGGACTTCAGTAAGGCATTTGACAAAGTAGACACAACCTATTGTAGGTCTACTTTGTATCTACATGGAGGCAACCTTTTCACTTTCATAGGAAAACTGAATTAAAAGGGAGAAAACAATTTTAGAGAATTCTGGAAATTTCTGGAAACTAAGTGAATCAAGTATAGAAATGAGCAATAGAAACATAAATTAGCAAGTCTTTAGAGAGTAGGTAAATATTTATCACAGTTAGAACTGAAATAATTAATCTTGTGGTTAATGAGTTTAATAAGAGAAGGACTAGGGGTGACATGATAGCAGTGTTCCAATATCTCAGGGGTTGCCACAAAGAAGAACACCTGAAGGCAGGACAAGAAGCAATGGATGGAAACTAATCAAGGAGAGAAGCAACCTAGAATTAAGAAGAAATTTCTTGACAGTTAGAACAATTAATCAGTGGAACAACTGCCTCCAGAAGTTGTGAATGCTCCAACACTGGACTTTTTAAAGAAGAGACTGGACAATCATTTGTCTGAAATAGTATAAGGGGGTTGGACTAGAAGGCCTCCAAGGTCCTTTCCAACTCTATTATTCTATATTGTATTTTAACCCAGTTCCCAATGGTCTGCAGATATGGAGTTAGAGACCCCTGTTCTAGAGGACATTTTGTAGGAAACCTACACATTTCAGCTACCTATGTGAAAAAAATACAGTTCAAGGAATCCAGATCAAAGTATGTAAAAATGCAAAATATATTGAGGTCTTCCAGTGTTCTGACTCATTATTATTATGGATCATCACACAGTCAACCAGAAGTTCAGACTATATTTGACATTTTGTCTACCTATCGAGTCCTTACCAAGGACCTGGGATAGGCAGATGTGGATGTTTGATGGTATTACAGATATTTGTCGCAGGATGGTAGCAGTTCCTACTAAGGCCGCCTTTTGCAATTGACTAATGGAGAATTTGCCAATGCCAATGGTGTTCAAGTGGTGCTCCAGGTTTTTGGGGATTGCATAATAATAATAATAAAGATCAAATGAAGAACAGAATAGAGGCATGGGAAGACAAAGCACTACATGGCCAATACATTAAAAAAATAGCTCAGAAAGCAGATAATAACAAGACCTGGCAATGGCTAAGAGCAGGAAAATTGAAGAAAGAGACTGAGGGACTAATTCTGGCTGCACAAGACCAAGCCTTAAGGACAAATGCACATAAAGTCAAAATTGAGAAGACAGCAACAGACAGTAAGTGCTGCCTATGCAAAAAAGCTGAAGAAACAGTGGACCACCTGATAAGCTGTTGCAAGAAGATCGCCCAGACTGACTACAAGCAGCGGCATGACAAAGTAGCAACAATGGTGCATTGGAAGGTCTGCAAAAAATATCATTTGCCTGTAAGCAAAAACTGGTGGGATCATAAAATAGAGAAAGTCATAGAAAATGATAAAATTAAACTGCTCTGGGACTTCAGAATTCAAACAGACAAGCACCTGCAACATAACACCCCAGACTTAACAATTGTCGATAAGAAAGACAAAAAAGTCTGGATAGTGGACGTGGCAGTGCCTGGAGACAGCAGAATAGAAGAGAAAGAACTGGAGAAGATAACAAAATACAAAGACCTACAAATAGAAATAGAAAGACTGTGGCAAAAGCAAGCAAGGGTAGTACCAATAGTAATAGGCTCCTTGGGTGCAATCCCAAAACAACTGGAGCACCACTTGAACACCATTGGCATTGACAAATTCGCTATTAGTCAATTGCAAAAGGCAGCCTTATTAGGAACTGCTTCCATCCTGCGACGATATCTGTAATACCATCAAACATCCACATCTGCCTATCCCAGGTCCTGGGTAAGGACTCGATAGGTAGACAAAATGCCAAATCCAGTCTGAACATCTGGCTGACTGTGCGATGATCCATAATAATAATATCTAAAATATTTGAAGAACACCAGGTTTCCTATCTTTTTCTAAATAAATATCCTAGAACTCACAAAATCAGCCAATAAAATGACCTTGGTTTAATTGTATATGCTATCCAGGATCTTTTGGAAGGAAAGATGACTGGATTGTTTAAAGAACATAATATTATTGCAATAAATTTATATATTTATATAAACTTGGAAGTCCCTTAATTTTGAAAGAGGAAACTTCTTTTTAATGAATTGATAGGGAAAGTCAAGAGAATGAACTTTCTCCAGAATTATTGGGGTTCTTCATAGCCATAGTGTTTGGTAATGTCAGGAAGCATACTACTAAAATCACTCCTGTAGTTAATAACCAATAACAAGGATGCAGCTAAATTAAATGTAGAACTACTTCTATCAGTGGGTGAAGTGAATCCAAAGGGAAAAAAGACACAGAAGTTCTTCATTAGGTTGGGAAAAGAGGAATGGAGGGAAAAAAAAGGTCTGCCCTGAATTATTTGCTTTATTCACTTTGCTTTTGACTTCTATATTAGAAAAGGTTTGGCATATAGAACTTGGTTATAGCTTTTGTTTTGGATTAAACTTATAAACTTTAAAGATACTGATTAATAGCAATTTGCTAAAGGACCTTGTCCTCCTTGCTTAAAGAAGACAATAATTAGAGAGAAACTTCCTTGACTGAACAGCCTTGAGAATTACAAGAAAATCTCATATATACTCTTTTTCATCAATATGATTGAAAGGTGGTAGATTTAGACCTTTAAGTACAATTGAAAATACTTATTAGCTCAATTAATTTATATCAGGTTTACAACTGTTTCTTAAAGCTGATTTTATCAAATTGCTAAATGACCCATATCAAGGTTGGATAATAGCTGCTATACAATAGCTTTCAATATGATCAAGGATTCTTAATTCTCTCACAGATTTGGCCCTTGAGGGCTGCTATATTATAGGAGTGCTATTTTTCCTGTCAGGCTGAGAAAATGAAGATTTCTATACCATAACCCAATTGCTGGCCAATTGCATCCTGCTGGATTCTGTCCATTCCCACATGTTGTTTCACATTTGTATTAAGTCACTGCTAGTGTCACTCAGAAACATTGACAATTTGGAATAGTGGCAAATTGACAACATTCCAGTCTATTGATCTGTACAACTTAATTTTAAAAAAGTAATGACTATTCTTAAATATTCTTAAATATCACGCTGATTCTGACAAAGTCAGAGAGGAGGTGAACAAACTGAAGTAAATCTAGCAAGGCTTTTGTGATTTGGCACATTAGTATCTGATGACACTGTTCTCCAAAATCCCATTGATAAGCATTTTTCACCTGAGTGTTTAGATAGCAGTGATGGTAGAGAATGTGTTTTCAGGGCATGGTGAGGCCCTATGGGAAGCTGTAGAGGCTATGTTCAGCAAGTGCTCACTAAAATCAAGACTGTGTAACAACTGGACTTGGCAAGGATACCACCAAGATGAGCAACAAACTGGTCCTGAGGTGAAGAAGTACTTTCTTGGTGAGCAAGCCCTTGTTTGAGCAGAAAATATGAATGCAGGCAGAAACAAGGCAAAATCTTCATCAGTTATATGAGCCATATTAGAGGACTTAATTTACAGAAGCTTTTTTTATATGGAAGTATCTTATCTGATGTTTCATCTCAAATATATTAGGAAGGTGATGATTTAGAAAAAGCTTTTTGGAGGAACACAGACACAAGTCTAATAAAAATAAATAAGGGATCTTAACCCTTCTCTAACTTTCTTTGCCTGACTTGAGAACTGCCATAGCCACCTAGTTCCATGCAGGTACGCTATGATGCAAAATGGGATTACGTTTGCAGAAGGAGGAAATCTTTTCAACACAGTTTGCACTTTCTGGAGCCTGATGCATGTGGGGCTGCGAGCTGCAAACTAGCTCAGAGGAAAGGGCCAAGAGTTTTGTTTTCAAGGCAGGCATTTTCTGCAAGATGCTCCTTTATGGGACTCAAAGAGGGCTCTCTTCCTTCTGATGATTTATTCTGTCTGTGCACAGTCTTTCTGCATCAGCAATGGCCGAAGCTGTACTTCTATTGATTATTGTCCTCTAGGTCTCAAGAGAACCACTTGTCAACTTGTACGGACTATGATGTTTATTCCTACAATAGGGGGAGAGAGGGAAAAACAGAGACTTAGCTGCAGCAAAACATTTTCCAATGATTTAAGGCCTTAGTATTCTAACAACTCCCCGTTATAATGAGGTATGAGGCTTTCCCCTTGGAGTTTTCTGGATTTGCCCTTGAATTATTTATATCCGGAACAGATACCTCATTAAAGCCATTCCTAAGTCTGCCAGGATAGTTAGAGGTGGGGATCATGTTCACTCCAGTTCACAAAGTACCCTGTGCAGAATGTGTCACCATTTTTGAATGAGGCTCAATTCATCCGGTAAAATGGAAAGGCTTTGGACATCAACCAGAGACAGGCACAGATGGTGCTCATCTCGAAAAACGATGATAGTTCCACCAAAGATGAGCCATAGTGTTTTCCTCAAAGGCTGGAATTCATAAACATATAGATAGATAGACAGATAAAGAAAGATAAAGATAAAAAGAAAGGAAGCAAAAGAGCCCCAAACAAACAAGGCTCCCCCCTGTTTTCAGAATATATTTCTATGTGCACAAACAAGCAATATTTCTTCCAATTTTTCCTCGCTCACCCCCTTCTGTCTCCTACTTTTCATTCTCCTTTTCTCTTCCCCTTTAACAAAAAGAAACATTACATGTTTGAACAGATAACAAGGGGTGCCATTAGGATACAGAAAATTGAAAACCGAGACTGCAATAAAATTGCAGACCCTGGGGAATTAGTAATGGTTTCTTCATGTTTTCATAGAAGACTTCCTTTTTATTCACCTAGCAAACACTGTTCACAAACAACGGTGAAGAACAAAAGCCATGATTTATATTTCTGGACAGGTATACACACACCCCTGACCTCCTGCTGCCTTCCTCGCCCTCCGCACCAGAAGCAATTTATGGAGACCGGTCTAAATAAACATTAAGGAGTCAAAGCCACAAACTGACAGCAAGGAAAATCAATGGCTCCAGAAACCAGCTCGTCGGATCAATAAAAGAGATTAGGCATCACAAGCGAGTATAGGGCACTTACAGGTAAATGTGGCTTACACTTCATCTGACAGGGTTCTCTTAGCACCAGGATAAAAACTGTCATATAAACAAAAGCATCCAGAGTAGCCAGTGGAGATGTTCCTGGGCTGCAAACACCAAGCAATGACCTCTGAATGAAGGGGATTTACGAAGCAGCTGCAGGGAATTTCCAATTGCTTTTGCAGAACTGCCTTGTGTACCTAGGCCTTTACTCTGAGGCACTGCTTTATATACTAGATTAATAGAGGCCTCTGGTCTTATCGTCCTCTCTCTTTCTCTCTCTCTCTCTCTCTGTGTGCGCGCGTGCATGCGCATACACATACGCACGCGCATGTGCTTGTGTTGCTACCTCCAGGTATAAAACCTTCCACCTTGTTCTGTGAACTGGGCATGTAGAAAAATATAGTCACCAAATTTCCCTAAAAAGGTCATGCAAGCCAAGAAAGAACAGAATTCAGAGCTGGCCAGAATCAAAGGAAAGATTCCCAGCATAGCATCTACCCAGATTTATGTGGCTGGAAATATCTTTCTTTTTTTCTTGCCACACTGATCAGCAGAAGAACTACATGCACATGATTTTCCCATTGCAGGACTCTTGACACATTCTGCTTTCCTTCCTCACTGAGCCTGTAGCTCTTCGCCTTTTGATGGAAACTTGGAAAACTAAGAACTTTCACACTGCACTTGGTTGTTGTTATCAGACGGAGGAGGAGTAAGAAGAGGGGAATGAAAGGAATGGAGCTGGAATCCATGTTTGGTCCTGAATGTGACATGCATGAATAAGCTCCCTCATCCAAGAGTGTCTAAACAGAGTGATGAAGAACAGGGTAAGGTTTGTAGATTTAGATTGCTTATAGTAAGGCTGAGATTTGTCTAAGTGTGTTAAGGGATAAAAATTAAGGTGACCAACTTTTTTACAACGAAAAGGACACAAATAAATTGAAGAAAAAAATATCGTAAATAAAAGAAATATATTATTCATTGCAACAATAATACACAATACACTATAATATGATAAATGCATAATAAAAAACATTTGTAACAACAATATTTTATATTGTAATTATGCTTACATCCTGCGCCCGTGCCAAAGCACCAGCTGCACCTGCTCCGGCCCCGGGGGCAGCCCGCCATTGACACACCCTGCCTGCAGCCGCCCTGCCAGCACCACTGCCCATCCTGCACAGCCCTGTGTAGAGCAAGCCCTGCGGCTCCCACAGTATGGGGGGAGCCGGCCACCGCTGCCCCTCACACCCCCGCCTGCAGCAGCCCCTCCCCCCTGCCTCTTGTGCCCGCAGCCATTATTGCCCTAGCAGGGCATAAGATCAAAAGAAAGTTACCGTGGCATCACCGTTCCAGTCTCCTCCAGGTATCTTTGGGACTAACTAGGAGATGGTGTAGTTGGGTAGCAGGGAGGGGTGCAAAGTTCCTGCCAATTCACCTTCGCTGCAGACAACTTACATGTGCAAAGTTTGCCGGCCGGATGTTTTGGCGCGCTCAGCAGCAATTCCTGTTGGCTTTCGAAAGCCAATAGGGGGAGTAGCACAGCTCATGCAAAAGTTGAAAAAAAAAACATCAAAGAAAGGTGCCAGAATGCCGTTCTGAGTGTTCTGTGAGAAAAAAAAAAAAGCCCTGCAGATTAGTCTTCAAATATCGAAAAGGAGGACATGTAGGAGGATACTTTTCGAGGGAGGATAGAACTCACAAAAGGAAGACTGTCCTCCCTAAAGGAGGACGGTTGGTCACCTTAATAAAAATACATGTGTTGAGAGCAATTAATCCACCTGAGCAAGGTGTTGATCTCGAAGGCCTCCAAGGTCTTTTCCAACTCTATTATTCTGTATTTGGGATTTAATTTCTAAACGGAAAGATACAGAAGATACTCCCAGCACCCTAATGTGCTGGATTTATGACTGTGTGTTTGTTCAGAATAATACACTATATGGATTAGAAAGCATTTTCAGGAACTGTAGTCTTGATTTGTTTTATTGCCTCAAAGAGAATAGCACTTATTTTTACTTCCTCAAGAGTTTTGGAAACCAAAGAGATTATATCGTATTCATAAATGAGGCACACGCTTGTTTGCTTTGGATTTTTTTTTTCTTTTAACCACAACTGATTTTTGAGAATGTTGCGGTTTAGGAATCTGGCTGAGAGCCTTGGAGAAACTTCTACAAGTAAACAGCCAGTGAGGTATGTAAATTCCCAAATAATTTATAGTGCCTTGAAATAAGCCCCAAATCTTCAATCAAGGATAAAGCCTCCGCATTTGGAAGCCCCTGAAGCCATATGACCGAACAAAGCAATACTTAATGAGACAGAATGAATGTACTGATGAAATACAGACCTGCATTTCATTTTTCATTTCATTTCATTTTCAAGATGGATTACAGAGCATCGGTTTGCACAAGGGCAGTCTAGGCGCTTCCATATCTAAACATGAATGATCACAGCGATGTCTCTGTCTTGGTTTTGGTATGATGAAGAATGCCTTTTTTTTCTTCAGGTGTTTTATTTTTAAAAAACAAGTCAGTGCAAGTTGACTGCAATGGTAGGGCACGGTGTTTGTGGCTTTATTTAGCCTTTCAATAGAGGAGAACATTTGTAGCACAAGGAGGTCCTTAGTGCTCTCTGAACTTGTGTTTTCTTACAGAGGTTTCGTTACCAAACTAGGTCACATCATCAATACACTGATGATGTCACCTAGTATGGTAATGAAATGTTTGCAAGAAAACCACCAAGCTCAGAGAGCACCAAGGACCCCACAGTATTTAGCTTTTCTTTGGTGGCTATATTTTAACTTTTAGTAAAGAATAAAATATAGAATAAAAGAGGACGGATTGCTAATAGATTTTAAGATCAGTGAGGACAGCATATGGTGTATGTTGTATATCTGTTCATTTGTAAGATTGGCCTGTCCTGTTTCTGCATCAGCATATAATGCAAAATGAACAGAATCAAAGCAGAATTTACAAAGTGCTCCCTTTAAACTGCATTCTATCTTTCAAAGGAATTCTATGTGTTTTCTTTGGTATGCTGTTTCAGTCAACAATTGATTTACAACATTTGAGACTTCCAGCAAAGCAATGATGGACTAGAGATGGTTCCACTGAGAGGATCCAATAACCACAGTGGAACAAAAAGTTCAAATTCAATGTGTGGAAATCCTTTTAAAATCATTTTAACCTAAACATCCTTCAACAAACGGTAATTCTGGATTTGTGTGACCTTAGTATCTACTACTTTGAGTATTTATTGAATTAGTATCTACTATAGTAAGAATTAGTATCTACTACTCTGAGTATTTATTGCTTTGTAGGTCATCATCTTTGAGGGGACGTAGAGCTTTAGAAGACAATTAAAATAATAAAATAAAATAAAATTACAGGCCAAGAGACAAATATTTACGTTAGGACCATTAATAGCCATTCTTTTTATTCTTTTCATATTAAAAAATAATTCCCTTTCCCTTCCCTTCCTGTTCTCAAGAAAACAAATGGAACAGGCCAATGCTATGTATGTTTAATTAGAATTAAGCCTCACTTAGCTGAAACAGGGATTTTCTAGTAAGGTTTATTTCAGACTTTGTCTTATTTTTAAAAGAAAGGGAAAATACCCATCTGGAATCAAACAATAAGGTTTCTTCTCACTTATTTGTTTGTTTGTTTGTTTGTTTGTTTGTTTGTTTATTTTCCTTGAAAAGTCTCCCACACTTCACTGATTTAATAGGCTTGGTGTTTAAGGGGAGGGAAGGAAGACCTGTCTTTCCAGATTCTCCACCCCCCCCCATCTTTTCTTTAAATTAAAGAAGGGTTTTATATAGTCAGCAAAGAGACTCCTCTGCCTCTTTCTTTAATTTCTTTACCCACTGAAACTTGATCACATCTGGAGTTCTCAGCCTCTTTTGGTGTGCCACCCTACCTCCTGCACCTTGTTATAAGCCTCCCTTGTATGAAGCAGTTTTCCATGTCAGCCCCGGAGGGCACCTGATTATAGGTTTGACCTTTTGCAATTCTGTGCATTTCCCACTTAATCAGTGCTGGAATGAGTTGCTGCTAAGTAAAGCTATAGAAGCCCTTTGGGAAAAGGGAAGCCATCTAAAATAATGAGTGTCTTCCCCCTCCCCCTCCTCTTCTCCCCCCCCCAACCCTGCTTTGCCTTTTGAGCTCTATTGGACCATGATAACTGTCTTAATCTCTGAGCTACACAAAAGCATAATGTGGCATGTGATGTTTGCATTATTTGCAGGAGTGGGCGGGGTGGGACAGGAAGGTCTTAGGGTAACCCGAATGGAAAGGACGTTTTGTGGCTCCATGAGAAATCTTTCCTTTCTCCCTCCCTCCTTCTGCCACTCCTGAAGCCCCCTTCCCCCCCCCCTCCTTGTGCTTTTCTTGTTCTGCCTGATAACATTTGCTTGACTGAGAGGAGGCCTTGTGAAGCTTTTAAGCTGTAGCACCTCAGAGTTTGACAGAGTAATTGGTTCCCTGTTGCCTGGGCAATAAGACAAAAAAAAAAAAAAAAAAAATGGGTTCCTGTCTCCATTTTTGTCTTGTTACAGTAGCCCAGGTGGAGATTTAGCTATAATCTCACAAAGTGCTCCAGTTTGGCCATCAGTTCATTTCTCAAAAGCCGAAGCCTGGGCATCCAATGAGTCAGATTCCCACCCCTGCTGCCTCTACCCCCACCATCACTGCTTCCCCTCCCCAGTTTTCTGTGAAACTGAACAGTATAATAGATGTAATTAGACCTTCAGCAAAGGGACCAAGTGGAGCAAGCAATGAGATTCCTTCTTGGAAAGCAATCATTAGGTTTCCACAAGATTGAAACTACTTTTAACAAGGTTTGGGGCTCAGGGATTATGAGTCTAAAGTGTCCTTGGCTTCCCTAGGAGAAAATGCTAGCCAAAAAGCAAATCTACCATTATAGTTGTTACAAATGAAGGGCAAAGAATACTGACCATTTTGTTACACATATCACAAAGCACACTATTTCTTTATTTATATTTTATCTTTTTATCTCTTTAATTAATTTTTATTCTGCCCATCTTCCCTACAAGGTGACAGGGGATGGCTGACAAGATTATAAAACAAGTAAAAAAAATTAAAACGTTAAAGCTATGCAACTTAAACTATTATTAAAAATGTACTAAAATTGTAACTGTATGTACATGCATATGTATATACATATGTTCTTCTAAAGCAGTAAGTCAACTGCTGAGAAGTATAAATACATGTCACATTTATGTTTCTTTCCTGGGTTTTGCTCATTAAATCAGGAAGAGGATAACTTTCTGCAATGCCAAATTGTTGTTATTATGGCTGGTTGTACAATCACCCAGATGTTTAGACTGGATTTGGCATTTTTGTTCACTATCAAGTACTTCCCAAAGACCTGGGATAGGCAGATGTGGGTGTTTATTGGTGTTAAAAGCATTGGTGCAGGATGTAAGCTGTTCCAAGTACAGCTGCCTTTTGCAATTGACTGATGGTAAATTTGTCAATGCTAATGGTGTTCAAGTGGTGCACTAGTTATTTTGGTATTGCACCCAAGGCACCTATTACTATTGGTAGTATTATTATTTTAAAAAGTGCTTTATTTTGTTAGGATGACTTAACCATGTTTAAGCATTTGAACTAATTCACCTGACTAAAAGCTCTACTGCTATAATAGGACCATTTATTTTTATATCTTTGAGACAAAAAAAGGAAGGGTGAGTCAACTTAAAGCACTTGTTAGTTTGGTGCTTTCAGTAAACTACCATCACAACAAGGTTTTATAATAAGGAACTCATCAGACAAGTTGTAAATCTGATAGCAATAAACATTTTTACTTCCATGTTCCAGGTATTATTGGTTTCTTTTAAAATAAGTTGAACATGTTGCATCACCAAGAAATTTAGTAAATTTAGGAAACAGACTATTATCTTGGAGTTAATTTTTATTTAAGCATACAAGTTTATAGGGTATGAATTGTAGTGATTGCCTCCTTGTGGAACATCATCCCTTCAGAGATAAGGTTGGCCCCCACTCTGTTAGTCTTTTGCAAGGCCCTGAAGATGTGATTTGGCCAATGGGATTGGGGTCACCAGAATGGGATGGAGCTCATCAAGTAGCTCATCTAATTGTTGTCACCAGGACAGTGGGGGAGGGTATTATTGGTTTTTGTATTGGAGTTTTATTCTTATAAGCCATTCAGATCACCAAGAGTGAGTAGGGCAGTGATGGCAAACGTTTTAGAGACCGAGTGCCCAAAAACTGGCCCTGCCCCTGCTCTGCCCCCCCATCCCCTGCCCCACCTGCCCACAGGACCACTCATCACCTCCAGGGCCCACCGCAGATTGCCCAGGCAGCCCAGCAGCATTATGGCAGCCACACTTTCTGCCTGTGCCCTGCACCATCAACTGCATGATGGGGTGTGAGGGCAGAGTCTTGTCTATGCTGCCTGGCTGCCATGTTCTTGGCTGTGTTGCTCTGTGTGGGCCACACTCAGGGGCGACTCTCCTTCAGGGGGGCTGCTGG